CGTTTAACCAAAGGAAAATTGAAAACCTTAACTGTTGTCATTTTATTGCAAATAGGATTCACTCGCGTAAAGAATATTTCAGTTTGTATGTGCGAGAATCAAATGTACCCTGTATACAGGGTGTATCAGGTTTGACTACATAAATTTTACCTTGTGAAAATATAGCCAATTTTGAACAAAAAAAAGTTTATACAACATGGGGTCCAAACTCATGTTACTCGTAAATCGGTTCCTAAACATCTGACAACATAGCACAAAAAGGAATAGTTGGTTTAGGAGGTAGTTGAACCGATAATTGATTAGTGATTTGTCAGTTACCTACTTGAGTATTGGAAACGCGCCTAATTAATTTTTTTTTCGAAATAAAATGTTCACAATAGGATATTAGGACAACAATTGAAACAAGATAATGTTTTTTATAGAATCTCTAATTCCACGCAGAAAGGTAACATCATACACCAACTAAAGTTATAACGAGAATTGAAATAGCACAAAACAAAAAATAATAGGTGAACCCTACCAAACTATCTTTTCTACCTAATTTTATACCATCCTATTTTTTATAGGTACAATGGGAATATAATAATAAAATGTTTTTTAGGTGGGTAGCCAGACGTATATACATATTTTACTTATTTATTTTCTCTTTGGAGACGTCAAATGGGTCTTTCCCACTCGACTGAATTTAAGTACGGAAAAATAGTTCTAGGCTCAAAGAGACCTGTGTTCAAAATATATTTGTGAAAAAAATAAAGTCGTGGTCTCAAAAATTTTTAATATCCTGGTTACATGTTTCGCCCAATAATGGGCATCATCAGACCTATAAAAAAGAAAACCTCTTACACTAAAAACAAACATGTACAGAAACACATACCTTAAATTAAACTCTCGGAGTGAGAGTTTAAAACAGACGCATACATTCAATACATCTTAACCTTCCGGAGCTCGCGCTAGCTATTTTGGAGAGGACACTCGCGCGCGGCCTCAAAATCCGCAGCCTTCAAATGTGCTTTTTATTGACTATTTCTAAAAATTGTTGGCAATAAATGTTAATTGTTATTTATTTTAGGTTCTTATTCATCAAATACACTGATTTTGGCATCTTAACAGAACTTATTGCTATGAAACATGAAATACATTGATTTTGGCAACTCAGCAGAACTTATTGCTAAAAGAAATCAAAATTAAGCACTCAACAACGCAAATACAGATTCTAATTGGAAATAGAAGTTTGTCTCATTGTGAGCGGCATTCATGATAAATAACAAGTGAATGCTCCTTGGAATGCTCTAAACAAACACATTTGTGGCATTCAATGCAAAGAAAACGAGAAGGTGGCTTAGTCCGCATTGGCTATTATTTGGCAAAAACGCATACACCAAGGCACATATTATGAGCACTGACAATAGGAGAACTCGGGATAGAAAGATACTTAAGATTGCAGCGCCGTGGCTTGTCAAAGTGTTATGTCCTGATGTCGACAAGTGGTTTGCGAAGGCGGAATGGGTATTAGTTATATCAGAATCTCTATATTTTTGCACATAGCTAAGGTGTTCTTTAATTCTATTTGATACCTTTCTGCCAGACTGGCCAACATAAACAGAAGGACAATCTCCGCAATTTATGGAGTAAACTCCCGACTTATCAAGGAAATTAGTTTTGTCTTTGTTATGTACGAGGTGTCGTTTTGAACTGTTTATTGTTTTATAGGCTATATCAATATTGTAAGACTTGAAAAATTTCGCCAACTGTAGGGAAATATTACCGAAAAAAGTGATTGACCTGAAACTCCTTTCCACTTTATTTGCTTCATTATGTATGATGTTGTATAAGAGTTTGTCTTTATTTAAGAATTTGTAATATAATTTAGTCATACAATTGAAGGCTGCAAATTTGTGGCTATATGGAGAATTGGAGAAAAATTGGATGATGTTATCAGTGGAAGTTGGTTTTCTATAGATTTCATACCCAATATTCGGACTATTATTTATCAGGAGCAAATCCAGAAAAGGTAGTTTGCCTTTAATTTCCATTTCATAAGTAAATTGTATGTTGGTATGAAGGGAATTGAAAAACTGAAGGAAAAGAAGAAATTGCTCGTTGGATCCAGTCCACACCAAATAGATATCGTCCACATATCTCTTGTACAAGAGTAAATTTGCTGCAAAAGGGCTGTTCATTATTTTTTGTTCCAAATTGTACATGAAAACTTCACTTGAAAACGATGATAAGCAAGAACCCATGGCTAGTCCGGTTATCTGTCTCATGAAAGAGTTATTAAACCTAAAGAAATTCTGACCTAAAGTGGTCTCCAATAATAAAAGCAAATCGTGAATCACAATTGACGGTAGGCGATTGTTCTTTAAATAGTAAGTAAATTCAATGGAGTTTTTTATGGAGTAAGAGCTCGTGAAATTTGTAGTCTTCCTGAGAATATCGCTCAACCACGACGAGAGGCGATAGCATGAAGAGTTGACGAAAGATACCACAGGTCTTATAGGGACGCCCTCCTTATGGATCTTAGGTAAACCGTATAAAAGAGGGGTTCTAGGGTTCATTGGATATCATTGGTTCTTCGTTTTGTTAAAATATTCCAACGTTACACAGGTTCGATCTAAAACCGACTTCAAGTGAGTGAAGAAGGAATTTGTAGGGTCCTTATTATTATTTATCGGTTGGAAATTTTCACAATCTGAGAAGTTCAAGACTTTACCAATATAATCCTCTCTTTGTATGATAACCAGACATGAGCCCTTGTCCGCCTTAAGAAGTGAATCATTTGTTTTTATCTTAAGTTTAAAAGATCTTAGATGTGAACTATTGAAATTGAATTACCGGTTATAATTATTATTATTAATTTCCTGTGTCTTTCACGTATTCAATTATACGGCAATTGGCTTAACATCGGCTGATAGGCAAGATGAGAAGCATTCTATTTTAGGTTTAGAAAGTTACGCACGGTACGGCAGGTATTGAGGACTACAGATTTTTGCATCTCTGGAATAAGATATTTAGTAAGACCTATAGTAGATAAGCTCTCTATTAGTGATTTAGGTACTAGACCGGTTGTGGAAAGAACTACAGGTATCACCTGTACTTTTTGTAGTTGCCACTGTTCCTTTATTTCTTGGGCCAGATCAGTATACTTTGTGAGTTTTGTCTGGATAGTTTCCTGCATATTGTTGGAGTTTGGTACAGCGATGTCAATCAGATACCCCACTTTTTGTTTTTTGTTGACGAGAGTGATATCTGGTCTATTGGCAACAATGTGTCTATCAGTTAGTATTGATCTGTCCCAATAGAGTCTGCATTTATCATTCTCAAGCACATTTTCCGGCAGATATTGATAGTAGGGTTTGGTTTCTGTTGGGATTTGGTAGAGTTTAACCAGATTCAGGTGAACTGTTTTGGCCACACAGGTATGCCTATGAAGGTACTCAGAAGATGTTAGTACTGTACATCCTGGTGTTATGTGTTGAATGGTTTCTGAAGATCGCTTTCATTTTCGGCATTTATCATCGACGATGGCAGGTTCGCGGATCACGTATTTTTTTTAATTTGCTGTGGGTATAACCATATCTTATATAGCCAAATAAAAACCCTCAGTCTTTGGAAAAAGTTCCCCCCGTACAAGCCACAGATTTGATGCCTCAGGGTCCACATTATCGGCCGACAGCTCATAGGGATGTTTTCCATGCAGCGTCTTCTGATTCCATGTTGCAATAAGTTGATTATTTCGCTCAACTTTCGTGGGTGTTGTGGTTTCCATGTTAGCAGAGTGCAGGTTCAATGGAGTTTCACCTTGGTCAATTTTTATCACTGCTTTGTATAGAGCGTTTGTATCTTGGTTGGATAAAAAGTATTTTCGCAGGTTATCAATATGTTGTTGGTGCATGTACTCCATGTCAGTAAGGCCTCTACCACCCTGCTTTCTGGGTAAGATTAACCGTTCAACAGCGGCTCTAGGATGACCTGCCCGGTACTTAGAATCGTTCTCGGTTTCCTCTCTATTTCTGCTATATTGGTTTTAGTCCACTTTATGACCCCAAAAGTGTACGTCAGAATCGGAATCACATATGTATTTATGGCTTTAAATGTGTTCTTGGAGTTCAATTTGTGTGTGTGCGTATGTATGTCTCAATGGCTCTGGCGGAAGCCAACTGGCCAGCGTCTCTCATTGTATTATATTTTATTTCACTTTTTATTTTTTATTTTATTTTATTTAATTTTTTTTAATTATGCATAATTTTTTTTTTTTTTAACTTTCTGAACTGTTTACTGAGATTTCGGGAATTCTCCATAACTTTTGAGAACTCTATCCATCTATTCCTACATATTGCATTTAAATGGCTTTTTTTTTTCTATTGTATATTTTCATATATCGATGGTTCTCGAGAAAAGTGACATAAGTCAAAAAAGCTAATTTTTGCGGTAAAGGTGAGAAACAACTTCAAATTGCATATATTTTTATCTGGAAAAATGTCACAAGTGAAACTCTACGTTTTGTTAAGAGATGGCCCAAGTGTCATTTCGTGTATTGATCGATTTGTATCGACGGGTTTCTAGAAAACTGCCACAAGTCAGTTGATTCCTAATCATGTTAGGGGAAGTGTCATCCATTTGTCTAGAAAAACGTCACATGTAAAAAAGTGCCGTCCAAAATTAATATTTCACCCGGATTATTCCACGAAAAGCGGCATATATCAAAAAGTGTCAGAATAGAATACGCTTAATTTATCAAGAAAAGTGTAATATTTTGTGTTGTGACGTTTTGATGATAAGGTAAGTCCAACAAACCGTTTACTTTTATCAGTATGGTGAATCTTTTAGAGTTTTGTCAGTTTCCTTGAAAACTTTTAAATTTATTGAACGACTTAACTAATGATCTTTGGAGTTAAGTCTCTTTTCTGGAAATAATTATAGCATGTAATAGTGGGTAAAAATACCATTTTGGAGTTGTATCAGTTGTATTATCATTAATTTATCATTGCTTTGTAGAAATGGCAGGAACACGAGGAAGGAAAATTTTGGAGATGGTGTATAAAATCAATACCACATCCAATGACCGTCAAAACGACGAAACTATAGTAGACTTAAATCAGGTTCCACCACAACAAGGTATACTTTACTGTTAGTTAAACATTTCAATTTTTAATTATTTTTGTCAACAATCAAGACAACAATATCTGGATGTCCTTTAGTGCTGTTCAGTCGAGTCCTTCTATTTTGCATTGAAAAATGATTTATCTACAAACAACATTTCAGATTCAAACGAAAGTTCAGAGTTTAACTCAACATCAGCTACCGATCAATTATCCAATTCTGAAATACTGAAGAGAGAAACAAATTTGCATCAGATGCCACCTGAAGGTGAAATTGCTTGTTCAACTTCCCACCAATCTTCTACTTCTGGTATACCAAAAGAAACGCATGTGCATCAGATGCCCCCTGAAGGTATGATTTTTGATTAGTAAATGGAAATAAGAATAATATTTTAAAAATAATATTAAATTAAAAGAGAAGACGTAAAGATTATATTGTTTACTTTGTTTCAGGTGACAGCAATCCTTTAGATTTTCACCCACCATCAAGTTCACATCAGTCGTTAAGTCGCGAAGTACTGGAATCGGAAGCAAATAATCAGCAGGAGCCTTCACCTGGAGGTGCGATTTTTTGTCACATATATTTTTTTCAAGTTAAGATTTAGGTACATATTATTATTATCAATAAAAATATTCAATTTTTGTTTTAGATGAAAACACTTTGCCTTCAACATCTACTCATCAATCGTCATCATCAGATTCAGATTCTGATTCGTCCTCATCAGATTCCTGCAGTTCAAGCGAGGACTTTTCAAGTGACGACAGCTTGAAAGATCCCAACTATAATGATTCTTCATCTTCTTCATCCTCTGAAGTAATACCTGAAGAAGTAGAATTACAGAAAAAAAGAAAAAGGAAGGCTGACCCAAACACATGGGAGAAAACTGCTGCCAAGATTCGCCGTAATTCTGGGAAAGAATATGTATCCAGTTCTAAGAGCAAGAGGATTTATGGTGCTAAAAAAATTGGAAAGGCATGCACTAATAAATGTAGACTACAGTGCGCTACAAAAATACAGGTAGAAGAAAGGCAGAAAATATTCGAAGAGTTCTGGAAACTAGGCGATATCCAAAGACAGCGTCAGTTTATCCTATTTAGTATGGAAAGTATTTCCCCTAAATACCAATATAAAAGAGAAAACAGCAATAGAATGTGCAATAATGCATTTCATTTTCATATTGGGGGAAATAAAATACGCGTATGCAAAACATTTTTTAAGGGGACCCTAGCTATAACTGATCGCCCAATTCGAACAGTGCTTCATAAGAAACAACAATCAGTAAGCGGAATGATAAGCACAGATTTAAGAGGCAAACACAATAATCATCGTAAAATTGATGATGCAATAAAGGAAGGAGTTCGGCAACACATAAATTCGATCCCCAGAATAGAGAGCCATTATTGTAGGAAGGATTCAAAAAAAGAATATATTGAAGGAGGAAAAACCGTAGCAGAGTTACATAGGGACTACGTCGAACAATGTAGAGAAAACAACCTTCCTCATGCCAATTACTTAATGTATTTCAGAGTGTTTAGCGACTTCAATATTTCCTTTTTTCAGCCCAAAAAAGACATGTGCGAGGATTGCGTATCATTTACCAACGCATCGGAAGAAGAAAAGGAGAAGTGTAGGGTGAAGTATGAAAAACATCTTGTCGAAAAAGATCTAGCGCGAGAAGAAAAGACGAGAGATAAGAATAATGTGAATAATGATTTAGTTGTCGCCGTGTACGATCTACAGGCGGTTCTGCAATGCCCGAGAGGAAATAGTTCTTCTTTTTATTACATTCATATCAAAAATTAATGTTTTTAATTTCACGATTTTTGAGCTGACACGGAACATAGCTAAATGTTATGTTTGGGATGAAACAGAAGCCAACCGTGGAGTTAATGAAATTGGAAGCTGCGTTTTGTTGTATCTGCAAAGTTTAGAAGAACAAGCTAGCAAAACTTCTAACAAAGTATTGGATGTCATATTTTATTCAGACAATTGCTGCGGTCAGCAGAAAAACCGTTTTATGATGTCCATGTACCTATTTGCTGTACAAAAATATCCGCACATAAACTCGATTACTCATAAGTTCCTTGTGAAAGGCCATAGTCAGAACGAAGGTGATAGTGTACACGCGACAATTGAGCGAGAAATCACAAAATCACTGAGGTCGGGACCCATCAATGTTCCGCAACAATACGTTACAATCATTCGTGCGGCCAAGAAACGAGGCACGCCGTATGAGGTACGTGAACTAAATCATGAATCCTTTTCAGATTTGAAAGATTTAGCTGCAAGGTTAGGATTTAATGTCCTCAAAACCCCAAATGGAGAACTTGTGAGGATTAGCGATATATCCATGTTAAGAGTAGAAAAAAAGTTCTCTAATAGAGTATTTTTCAAAACATCATTTTCGGAAACTGGCTTTCAAAGTATTGAAATCAAGAAAGCTCGAACATCATCCACTCGTAAGATCAATGAACCTTCAACAACAACGGAACTAAAACAAGCCTACAGTGCAAACCAAAAAATTAAAGATAATAAAAAGACAGACCTATTAAAACTGCTGGAAAAAAACATTATTCCAAAGTTTTATTCATATTTTTATACAAACCTTTAGTTTTTTTTTTTTTGAAAATACCTATCACTGTTTTTTGAGGCAAAAAAATGTCTCTTCGTTTAGAAGATGCTTTTAGTTAGTTAAGTTCGGTTGGGTTATAAAAAAAAAGATAATTTGAGATACTTTTGGTTTATTTTTCTATCTATTTTCTTTTCGTCTGTACTCTATAATATCTTGAAGTACATACTACATGTTTATCTTAAGATACCAATGTATGTTCATAAATAAGAATGTTATTTATGGATAAAAAACTATAATTTTCTAATAAAAAGTGATCCCAGCAAATATAGCTTTCAATGTTTGAAATCATTTTACTACACAATGGTAAAAAAATTTCAAGAAAAATGACATTTATGAAAAACTAATCCATTTTTGCTCCTAAATCATCAAAATTCTTATAATGAGTCATTTTATTGGAGTACTTCTTTGTAACAATTACCTAAAGCCATTAAAAGTTGACAATACTTATCAAGGTTAGAAAAATCCAAAATATTCTGTCAACGTAATTTTAAAAGCGATTTTTCTTGGAACTGCTTTATTTTACTTATGTCACTTTTCTCGGAAACCATCGATATGTATATTACTTTATTTATCTATATGAATATTTTTCATTTTTTTTTTTTTTTTTTGTTTTATTTTGTTTTTTTTTTTTTTTTTCTCATTTTATTATTATTTTTTTTATACAATCATGTGCTACTAAATTTTAATATTTGAGACTAACATAAATTTGTACAATCTTCTATATACATTGAGGTTATTTGAGGAGAGCAGTACGTTCAAATTAATAGGATAGTTTGGCTAGGGCATAGAATAGCTCTCCTATGTATCTTTCATGTATAGGGCAATCGAGAATAAAGTGGTTTAGATCTCCTGGTTCTGAACATTCGCAGATGTCATTATTTTTTAGTCCTATTTTTTTCATATGTTCAGGAAACAGGGCAGGCTGGCTTCTTAATCGGGAGATGGTCCTTATGAAACGTCGATTTGTTTCTGTGTGAAAAAAAAAAAAGTTTAATTTAGCCTTCAGAATATCGTTGACCCTCTTTGTATATGTTTCTGTCACCTGTTGCTTTATTACTTTGTGCTCAGTCCTCACTGATTGCTGCATGCCTAAATATTTGTACGTTTCGTTCTCAATTAATGGTTCCAATGTTTTTCCATCTTGCGTTTCGTACGGACTTGTTGCGTGCTTGCCCTTTATCACAGTTTGCGTTCTGCACTTGTCGAGACCAACGTCCATGTGAATATCGTTAGAGAATATCTCCACGGTTCTGAGTAGCGATTCAACGTGTGTTTTAGTACCGGCGTACAGTTTTATGTCATCCATGTACATGAGATGGGTGATTTTGTGCAATATCTCCTTTTGGTGTTTGATTGAGAATCCATGGGCATTAGAATTTAGAAGTTGAGAGAGTGGATTGAGCGCTGAACAAAACCATAAGGGACTTAACGAGGCTCCTTGGAAGATACCCCTCTGTATTCTTATTGGGTCTGTGCTTATGTTGCTTGAATTAGAGGTGAGTACTAACTGGGTGGACCAGTTATTCATTAAGTACTGTAGTATGCCATGAATATCATCGTTGATTTTATACCGTTTTAGGACTTTAAGCATCCATGAGTGTGGCACTGAGTCAAATGCCTTCCGATAATCTATGTAGGCCGTAAAGAGATTTCTATGTTCTTGTATCGCTTGTTCTAGGATTGCTGCATCCAGGAGAAGTTGCTCTTTACAACCTTGTGATTTTTTAATGCAACCTTCCTGTTCAAGGGCAATTATATCGTGCAACTGACAGTGTTCATATACCTTGTTACTTATGCATGCAGTTAGTAGTTTGTAGATTGTCGGGAGGCACGTGATGGGTCTATATTTTGCATTTATTATTATTATTATTATTATTATTATTATTATTATTTTTTTTTTCCTCCTTTGCAGGGTTGTTCAACAACGTGGGATTCGTGATCATTCACGCTGCTTCAAACTTGCGATTATTTCAGCAGGATTTCGCCATTACATGTTTTCAGGTAAGTTAAGAGTCTTCCTGACAATCCTACACGTCTCCAATACGACAGATTTCTGCATTTCAGGAAACACTTCTTTATGATTTATTTTTAGAGTTTCGACGTATTTTTTCAAGTTTTTTGTTGCCAATCCGGTTGCAGAGATGACTATCGGTAAAATTTCGACTTTTCTCAAATTGTTAATAGATTTGAATTCTTCTGCCAGCTCAAAATATTTACTTATTTTTTCCCTTTCTGTTTTATTTAGGTTGTGATCGTTCGGATGAGCAACATCTACGAAGTACCCAATCTTGTCCTGTTTGTTGAGAAGCACGATATCTGGTCGGTTGTTTGCCACAGTTTTGTCGGTTTGTATTGTTGTGTCCCAGTATAAACGGTAAGTATTGTTTTCGAGAATGGGAAAAGGTACATATTTGTAGTATCTTTCTTTTTGTTCTTTCAGGTTGCACAGTATTGCCAGTTCTTGATGGATTATGTTCGCAGTCAAATTATGTCGTTGGAGGTATTCAGTTGGAGCAAGGTAAGTACATCCTGAGATAACGTGCTCTATTGTTTCCGCATGTCTGTTACACAGTCTGCATAGGTCGTTATCCAGCTGCACTCCATGTACAAATTTTATGTGATTTTTTGTTGCAATTACATTATCTTGTATTGCTACCATGAATCCTTCTGTTTCTCCAAACAGTTGTCCCTTTCGTAGCCACTCAATTGAGGACTGGAGATCGGCATCATTGAGCTTATTGGGAAATCTGCCGTGCAACGGTTTTGACAGCCAAGCAGTCTTTAATTCAGCCATAGTTAGCACAGGAACATCTTCATTGGAGGACAGATTTACAGGTGAGTAGTGATCTAGGACGTAGATTATCTTATGCAGCTCTGACTCTTCAGTTTTGATCCTAAAGTACTTTTTCAGTTTATTTATCTGTCTCTGATATAGGGTTTTGAGATCTAGCAGGCCTCGCCCGCCCGTGCTACGTGGCATATACAGCCGTTCAGTGCAGGCTCTTGCATGGTGTATGTTGAACTTGGTCAGTTGTACTCGGATGGATCTATTTGTAGCTTCAAGTTCAGTTTGTGACCATCCAATAACCCCGAATGAGTACGTCAACGCTGGCACTGCCCATGAATTAATAGCCTTTATTTTATTTTTCGCTGTAAGTTCTGTACGAAGAATGCTGGAGACTCTGGTTTCTAAAGTTTTATTTATTTTTTCTTTTGCACAGTTTCGGTCTATTATTAGTCTCTGTTCGTAGCCCAAGTACTTGTAATTATCTTTGTTTAAATAGCGGATATTTTCATTTTCTAGATTGTCAAATTCTTGGGGCTTTCCTTTGCGGGCTATCAATTTAGCACATTTGTCTAATCCGAATTCCATTTTTATGTCAGTGCTAAATGTTTCCGTGAGGCTAATTAATCGATTTAGGTCTTTCTCTGTTGGAGCGTAAAGCTTTAGATCATCTACATAGAACAAATGAGATATGATGTAACTCTGCTCACCATTCTTAAGTTTGTATCCCAGACCCGATTGACACAGAGCTTTGGATAGAGGATTGAGACTGAGTATAAACCACAGCGGGCTAAGCGAATCTCCCTGGAAAATTCCGCTCTGTATGGGTATTTCCTCGGTTGTTATTTGTTGTTCTGCTGTATTAACAAGCAGTTTTGTTCTCCAGGTTCCCATACATGTTTTCAGAAACTCCACAATTCCTTCGTGTACCTTGTATATTTCCAGGACTTCGATCAGCCAGCTGTGGGGTACAGAATCGAATGCCTTTTGGTAATCGATCCAAGCCACGGCAATATTTCTTTGACGATGTCTCGCATCTTGTGTAATCACGCTGTCTATCAAGAGCTGGTCTTTGCATCCTTGTGTTCGTGCTCGGCTTCCTTTTTGCTCTTCAGTAATTAGCTTCTGTCCACTAAGGTGTTTTTCTATACTATTTGCTATGACGGATGTAATTATTTTATCCAAGGTGGGCAAGCATGTGATGGGGCGGTAGTTCTTAGGTTCTTCTGTTTTTTCAGATTTAGGGATCATGAATGTTATTCCTTTTGTCAGGTATCCAGGCATTGTTTCTTTGTTGTTTAGAACACGGTTGATTTGTACTGCTAACATTTTCCATATCGCTGTGTTCTTCCACCAGTAGTTGTGCAAATGGTCAACTCCTGCCGCTTTCCAATTTTGTGTTTTTTAAATAATTTTTTTGATATCCTTCTCTGTGACTTCAACTTCTTTCATAGCTTCTACCCGTTCGCAGGTCTTCCTCTCAGCTTTCAACCATGTGGCTCTTCTGTTATGTTCACCTTTTGTTTTCCATGTATTTTCCAAAATTCCGTGAGCTCATTTTTGTCTGGTGTCTTTTGAATCTTTTGCTGGTTGGTGATCAATTCGTGGTAGAACGCTTTTTCGTTTTTAAAGAATGTCTTGTTTTGTACTCTTCTTTTGTAGCTTTTGTTGTACCTTCTTAATCTCTTCCCCAGCACTGCTATTCGCTGCTTCATTTCATCTTTTAGCACCGCCACTTTTATAACAAATTCATCGTCTCCAACCTTGATATTCTTGGTTTTTAAGAACTTTTTGACTTCTTTTTTCAGTTTCTTGCTATTGTTACCTTTTTCCCATGTGCACAACTTTGACAGATTACTTCTCAAAATATTTATTTGTCTCTCGATTCTTTTTTTCCATCTCGGTTCTTGCTTTTTGTTACTTGAGTTTTCATTTGTAATTTTGTGTCCCATTACTTCCACTGTGGTTATGGCTGCGCTATATACTATAAGTTGTGTTTTCAGAATTGGGTCCTCTTCACTAAGTAGCTTGGGTATCTCCGTGTTAATTGTTTTCGTCTTATTTTTGGTAATTTTGGTCTGCACTCCGGATCAGTTCCATCATAAAAGATCATATTTTTACTTAATATATCCTTGATCTGTTTTTCTACTGCATCTTCTTCTTCTGTGTCCGGGTTCTGTTCTTCAATCATGTT